TTATCCTCTTGTCAATCTTCACAACAAAGGTAAATACAGTTCCTTATGTGTTATTATATGAATGTCAGCATGACTTTCATAACATCATAGAAGAAAAAAGAACTCAAAACAGAGAGAGGAGGCTGGTGGTGGTGGCACATGCCTTTAATCTCAATCCTGGAGAATAGAGACCAGAGCATCTTGAGTTCAAGCCCAGTCTGATCTACACAGGACAGCCAGGACAGCCAGGGCTACACAGAGAAAACCTATCGCAGATAAACAAAGTGAAACAAAAGGAGGCAAGAGAAAAACTTGGGGACCTCATAAAATTAAGAAAAGCCAGTGCAATTACCACACTCACATTTAATGATGTGTCCTTGCAAAGGAAGGACATGAAGAATATTCATGCACAGAGAAGAATGTCTAAGTGGGAATTGAAGGGGGATAAGAGGGAACAATAATGGGTTAAAATGAACAAAACACATAGATTACACGTGTGAAGTTGTCAAAGGAGAAAAACTTTTAAAGGGAAATTTAATGCAAAAGAATTAAAAAAGGTAACATGGTATAAATCGTCACCAGGACTGATTTCAAAGGATGAAATCATCCCCAATGCCAGGAGCTCATAAAAAAATGTTCATGTTAACTATGGTGACATCATTTACATTTCAGAAGTAAGATGGCCAAGCTAGGATATTACCAGAACATTATCAAGCTACTTCTTCTGTCATAAACAAAAATTTTGCCAGAGCTTGAAAGTGAAAACTGGCTTACAGAGTGTACTTCCAGTGGATTTAACTGTTGATTTCGTGTGCAAGTGAAAACCAGCCCATCAACACCACGTTTGACATCACGAGTGTTCCATGTGAAGATGGAATTATAGTAAGTTCAAATTAAAACAAATAATTGTATGCATTTCAACACAGCTGAATACAGTTTTGTAAGCAGTGATGTAGTCTTGCTATTACATTTGACATGAGAATTTGGAAACAGATTTCAAGATTTCCAAAAGTAATGTCACTATTTTTATATATTCACAAGTCCATTTTTAATCAGCATATTATTACCTGCCAATTTTCAAATGGAATGCCTTGACTGTATCCTTCATTCAACAGGAAAATATTTTTGATGAGGTCCCTTCACAGATTTTCCAGGGCTTTTATGAGTCCTTCTCAGAGACCAGTGTTCACACTTCATAATCACACTGTATTTGCACCATCACTGTTTCATAGCATCTACTTGTGTGAGCAACTACTTTCAAGAATAGAGTATACAGGACTGGAGAGATGCCAGGAAGTCTTAACAGAACACACTGCTTCTGCAGAGGATCCAAGTTCAGTTCTGGGTACCCATGTAGAATAGATTAAAATCATTTTTAACTTAAGCTGGCCTCCAAGGGCACCTGTACTCACTTGTATATATCCAAACCAAGCACAAACCCAAACAGAGACACATAATACAGAGGTAAAAGTCTTGTACATAAATGTTTCTAGATATGACAAGGGAACTACACCCATGAAATGTCAACAATATGACTGCTTAAACAAGACCTGAAATATGACAAAATCACTTGAGTGTTACGAGCAGGTTTTCCCACAGGTCTGGTCCCAGAGCAGCACCAGCCCCCAAAACACTGTATTAGCTATAAAGCTGCTGGCCTGTAACTAATGTTTCTTATTGACTAGTTCTGTCTTAAATATTAACCCATTTCTATTAATCTAAATGTTTCCACATGGTCTTGGCTTACCGGGGAGAGAGGGTCTGGGGTTCTGTTCTCTCTGTCCCCCATGTTGAATCTCCTCCCTACTTCTTCCTCTCTCCTCTTGTCTCCTAGTCCCACCTATCCTGCTTTCCTATTGGTCAACAATGCTTTATTTATCAACCAATACGAGAAACATATTTACAGAATGACATCTCCCATCATCTCCTCTTTTCTGTGTAAAATAAAAGAAGGGTTTTAACTATAACATAGTAAAATATATAACAAAACAGTTATCAAATAAGAATCACAGTTAACAATATTTAGTCCATCAACATTTAGCAAGATTTGGAGAAAATATTTTATCATCTGTCCTATCTTTGTGAGTCTAAAGTTCTATATGTAACTTATCTTAAATCCTAACTAAGGAAAACTATAACCATAACTGTCTTCAACTCCATCAAAGACCACAGAAAAATAATATATAAACTCTAGAAATGACAGAGACACCTCGCCTGGTCAGTAACCCAAAGTTCTTCTGTAATGTTCCATTTTCAGCCTATAGGCCATAGTGTGTCTGGCAGACTGCTCAGCAAAGCAGGAAACTTTAAACTGCCCACCTGTATTTTCAGTTTGTCAGTTACTTTTCACTGTGTCCTGGAGACTGTCTGGCAGATTCTTCCACGAAGCAGGAACTCTGTAGCAATGTCCATCTTGTATCAGCAGTCACTTTTCTGTGGGTCCTGCATAAAGTCAAACAGTCTAGACAAGAGACTTGTCCAAATGACTAGTCTTGCCATATTGGAAGTAAACTCCACAATGAGTTTCTTCAACGTCCATCTGATGCAGGTGGTGTTGCCAAGAGCAGTCATGCCTCACTGTCAAGGAAAACTCTAAACAATTTTAAATGCCATATTTTGTAGGTCTTTGAAAGGTTTGAAGAATGGCTATCCATCTCAAATGCATCTCTGTGTGTCTTGAAAACCTAACTAACTTAACTCCAAGTTTTGACCGTCATAGGTAATTATCTATAATCTGTACTAAATTATACATTTTAAATGAGTTATATAAGCACAATACCTAAACAAGAGGAGAAATATACATATCACAAAATTGACCTTAAATTACTATCAATAAATGAAAATCCATTCCACAACAAAGTATTCATTTCTATACCATAATCCCCTTTTTACCTTTAAAAAGAGATTTGTTGTGATCATTAACCATTTGTAACCAAGCCTATTTAAGTGAAAATAAACATTTATAGACAATATTTGGGAATTTGGGCATCATTCTTTCCAAACTACTTCCTGCTGGTAGGGGGCGCTGTCATGGGAACATAGAAATCCAGGCTGTAGTGGTCTATAAGGCTGCTTTGTCCCAGGGACAATGCTTCAGGGGGTCTTGCTTGATCAAATCATGTTAGTCTGGAAGGAATCCACAGCTTTTCATTTTCTGTGAAAATAAAAATAGAAATCCTTTTCCCCAGTAACCTGTCCTTAGACTTAAATTTTGAAGTAAAAGCATTTTTTAAAATATATAAATTGGATTAATCCAGTAGCATTTGTTTTAACAGTTGTTGCTATTTCCTCAGCAGTCAAACAATTTAAAGACAATACAATAACATATAGTATCCAGAATTTTTTTGTGGTTTCCATCTTTACTTGGCTTTTTTATTACTTTATTTTTTATTTCTATTTTTACATTTTGTGAGACAGGGTTTCTCTGTGTGACTGTGGCTGCCCTGGAATTCGCTCCATACACCAAGCTTACTATGAAATCACAGAGATCCGCTTGCTTCTGCCTCTGGATTGCTGGAATTAAAGGTGTGTGCCACCACACCCAGCTACTCTCTCCAGCTGCTCATACACACCATTGAATTGTTAGCAGCGCTTTTTAAAAGCCATGCAGTTTTTTGCCACTTATGATGAGGCAGGAAATCTCTCTTAAAAGAACCGCGCAAATTTCTGCTTGTCTCTAGCAAAACAGAGCCTAACCAAGAAAAGTGTTGCTACCAAGAAGCCTTGCTTGTCTCTGTTCTTTTCTTTTTAAAACCATTTTTTAAGGTTTTGTTAAGTTTTAAGTAGAAGTTCTTAGTATCCACATTGGGCACCATTTTGTTACAAGCAGTTTTCCTGCTGGCCTGGCCCCACAGCCACACCAACCCCAAATAACACACAGAGACACTGTATTAGATATAAAGCTGTTGGCCTGTTACTAATGTTTCTTATTGGCTAGCTCTGTCTTAAATATTAACCCATTTTTATTAATCTAAATATTTCCACATGGTCTTGGCTTACCGGAGAGAGGGTCCAGAGTTTTTCTCTCTCTGTCCCCCATGTTGACTCTCCTCCCTACTTCTTCCTGTCTCCTCCTTGTCTCCTAGTCCCACCTATCTTGCTTTCCTATTGGCCAACATTTATGAGAATATGAGAAACATATTTACAAAATGACATCTCCCATCACTTGACCTTGCAAAGTGGATGGGAAATAGCAAGGGGCCCCATCCCAAGATGAAGAGCAACAGGTAATTAATTATACACTGCCAAGAAAGGGAGTCGTAGTCTTCTCCAAAGATGAGCTCCCCTTGGTTATCCAATCCCAAGTGGTCAGACTTAAAAGAAATTGCATTCAAGCAAATCTATAGGTTGGATTTATATTTTTCATCTCCTTGTATGTTGAGAGAGAGGAGAAGAAAGAGAATGACAACTAAGGAATATGGGGCCTTGAATCTGAATGGGATGGGAATTGTGTGGAGTTGGAGAGATAAAGAGGGGATAGTATGATTACATTTTCATTTTTCTATTAATTCAAAGTGTTAAGCACACTAACAGCAAAATTAGAACTAAAACATCTCAGCCCCAACCAACTTAGAAATTCACTGAGATCAGAGCTATGCCCATCAAGCAGGGGTAGGAGGGTGGAGGGGGGGGAGGTAAAGCATTCCTAGCTCAGGAGCAATGTCAAACTTCCCACAAAATTCTGTTGTCCTCCTTTACTTTTATGACTAAAAGAATACCAAAATAAATTTTAATACTTATATGACTTCAATTTCTTTATTATAAATCACAAACATGGAGCCTGCTGCATGGACTTGAAAGATTCTGTTTAAATGGGCACCATATAATTAAGATTACTTTATTGTCTAAGAATGTTGTTGCTTCTCTGTGTGTGCAGATATTGTGTCACTTACATGTGGTTCCTTTTCAGGTGGGAATTATCTCTTTCCTCACACTTTGTATGAGCAGTGTGTAGCCCAAAACAGTTATCCCTTCACTGTGGCCCAGAGAGGCCAAAAGGTGACACATCCCTCCACTGGATGATGACTTCTGATTCAATTAACATCATCGCTGTAGGTCATGACCAAAACCAGAGTGTATCTCTTGGTCATAAAGTATGGGAGGAGGAAATTTTAAAATATCTGAAAATACAAAGCTGTGCTGGAAAGCACGCACGCACACGCACACACACACACACACAGAGAGAGAGAGAGAGAGAGAGAGAGAGAGAGAGAGAGAGAGAGACAGAGAGAGAGAGAGAGAGAGAGAGAGAGAGAGAGAGAGAGCCTGTCTCATATCCCAGAACTGATCCCACACAGCTCAAACTATCTCATGCTCTAAGCTTAGATTCTCAGCTCACTCCAGTTAATATCTGGCTTTTCAAGGGTTGGAGCCTTGTGTGTCTCATTGTTGGATCTAGTCCTCTAAATAATCATTCCAGATCAAATCAGGGTCTTTGTTCACTATAGAAAATCCTAGACAACATTGTGGAGAACACCACTGTAGTTCACAACAGGGAAGCCAGCCCTGATCTAATCTTACTGTGCATCAAATTCCACCCTGAAGCTCTTGATTAGAGATAAATGCCAATACCTAATAAACAGGTAACTGATATATGCCATTGTAATTGGTCAATATACTTCACTATGTCTGACTCTAAGACATGATTATTGGCCACAGGGAAAACACTTGCTCTTGAGATTTCTCTGTGATGTCCTAGGAGTTTAGGAGAGTCAGAGTGAGTTAAGATGACTTCATCAGACCGTTCCAACAGATGATTCCACAGGATGGTTAGAAGACCCAGAGGTTAATTAGATGCTGTACTGAAACACTACCTAGCCAAATATGGCTCTGTATGAAGTCTCACTAAGTACCCTATACATTTTTTGTGTATTTTTAGTGGGATAGCTGTTTCATGTTTAATTATGTGTCTGTATTATTTAAAATGAAAAGAATGAAAGAACCCAAAAGATATCTTAACAGAACGCACAGGTAACCTCCTACAGGTAAGAAAGGACAAACCTTGGTTCAATGCAGACACTGAGTACTTCCTGGGGTCTCAGACCATTCTCAACCACAGCCTCAAAGCCTCTACTGTCTGGGTCTTTTTCCAAGTTTAGCTCATGTCAATGTGGTGACAGTGTCATTTTGCCCAACCAGAAAACGTCCTTTAGCAGTGACACCAATCAGAGCTGAGGTGCACAGGTTTAAAATGCCTGTGACACTCACTGGACACTCACCTCCTCCATCCCTTCAAGAGCTGTGTCTCCTCTGTCCTCCTCCAACCTCAGCAGCCTCCCGGGAAGAAGTTACCTGTCCTGATTCTCCTGACCTTTCTTCTGCCACTTGGAGCTGGTGCAGGTGAGTGGTCAACCCTATCTCATAGGTGCCATCACATAATACCTCTGTGGACTCTGCCTAGTTCTAGTCAGGAACAGTCCTGCACTGAACCAGGAGCTTTCTAAACCCCAGGTTCCATGGCAACCCCACCCATGAGAATCTGTCACTGGCTAGACCTCAACAAGGCCTGAGGAAGGGGGATGTCCTCAGAAGACTTAGTGGACAATACATACTTTCTGTTCTTTTTGTCACCTGGAGAGTGGATCATTCTTAGACAGGGACATTATAGAGAATGCAAAGATAATAATAAGTACACAATTAACTTTATTTGAACTCAGCACAAGGGCAGCTTTACTGACCAGCCTGCAATGGGGTAAGGCCAACAGCTCTAGAAGAGTATCATCATTTAGGTACCTCCACCCTCAGCCTGCTGAAGAAAGAGGCCCAGGGTGACAAGATGCCTGCATTGCCGACTCCATGAGCTTTGCAGTCTAATGTTGGTTGGCCCCTTCACTTCTGTCTGAAGGTCCCCAGCTATTCCCATCTTTGCCATCACACACTCCATGACACACCAACTCTACATCCCATGAGTTCTGAGCCACCAGCCCTCCAGCTAAGTAGTATTCATTCATTCGTGCTGTAAAATCATTTACTGAACACCTAAGATGTGTTGGGAGCCAGAATAGGAGAATTTAAAAAATGCTCCTCCATAGGGCTTGGGGTAAAATGTGGAAAAATGAAACTAATCAAGACATTAGAGGATGGTAAAGGCATAATAGCCACGAAAACACCATTAACCCCTCAGTGTATCCCCATGAAGACAGAGCTTGTCCCTTCATGTATTTGTAAAGCAAGGACTGGTGGACTAGTGCTACCCACCCCTTCTCAGAGCAGGGCTGAGGCTTGAGTCAAAAAGATTATTCCATGTGCAAGGAATTCTGTCTGCTACATGCTTGGGGAACTGAGAATCCTATTGCCTTCACCCTTCCCTAGATCTTCCCTTCTGACTTCATCTGCTGCTCCCACATACCCCATATTCTAGCCTTTTCTTTCAGAGGAGATCATCGGGGGTCATGAGGTCAAGCCCCACTCCCGCCCCTACATGACATTTATTCTGACTGAGCATGAAAATGGGAAAAAGAATTTCTGTGGAGGCTTCCTTGTGGAAGACAACTTCGTGCTGATAGCTGCTCACTGCCTGGGAAGGTGAGAGAAGCAAGAGACCCAAGTTTTGTTGAGACCTCAGCAGGAGCTCTGACATCTACTTGTGGATGCTCCTGTAAGAGCTGGCTAGAAGGCAGGACTGTGAAATGGGACATCTGAAAGCAGGGTAACTTTAGGGTCAAAGGGTTAGCCAGGTCAGAGCCAACAGTGAGAAAGGTCAGAGCCAGCAGCACACTTGAGTTGAAAGCAACTACAGTGGCCAAACTGAAGCACTGGTTGAGGTTGAATTACTCAGCAAGAGTCAATGCAAACTTGGAAATTGCCTAGAGCAAGAGGGAGCCTCCAGGCATTTAATGTTCTTGAGAAGAAAAGAGCAACAAGTCAAACCCTGAGGTCACCCTGTCTCAAGTCCTCCCAGGTAGATAGATCCCTACCCAGGTCAACCTGCCTCTTATACCTTCTGGATGGTGTCAGCTTTCACATCACAAATCTCCTCTCCACCCTGTGTCCTCACAGATCAATGAAAGTCACTTTGAGGGCCCACAACATCAAGGCACAGGAGGAGACCCAGCAGATCATCCCTGTGGCAAAAGCCATTCCACACCCTGACTATAATCCTCTGGACTTCTCCAATGACATTATGTTCTTAAAGGTGAGACCTGTCCTCACCCTGGACCAGAAATAGCCTCTCCTGCTCTCATCATTCTCCTTTCCTCCATCCGCCCCTGACCTTTGTGGGGTCTCAGCCCCACTGTCAATGAGCTACACTATTGCCTCTTCCCCAACAGCTGCAGAGGAAGGCCAAGATAACTAAAGCTGTGAAGACCCTCACGCTTCCATGGAGCAAAGTCCACGTGAAGCCAGAGGATGTGTACTCTGTGGATGGCTGGGGAAAGACGGCCCTGGAGGGCGAATACGCAAACACACTTCAAGAGGTGGAGCTGACCGTGCAGAAGGATCAGGAGTGTGAGTCCCAATATCCAGCTTGTTACAAGGCCATGGAGATGTGTGTGGGGGACCCATAGGTCAAACGTGCTGAATGACACAAAATGGCTGAAAGACACTTAAGAAAGTGCTTGACATCCTTAGCCATCAGGGAAATGCAAATCTGAGATACCATCTTACTCCTGTCAGAATGGCTAAAATTAGAAACACCAATGACAACTTATGCTGGAGAGGATATGGAGAAAGGGGAACACTCATCCACTGCTGGTGGAGTACAAACTTGTACAGCCATTTTGGACATCAGTATGGCTGTTCCTCAGGAAAATAGGAATCAGTCTACCATAGGGCCCAGCAATTCCACTCTTAGGCATATACCCAAATGGTCCACATCCATGTAACAAAGACATCTGTTCAATTATGTTCAAAGCAGCATTATTTGCAATAGCAAGAACCTGGAAGCAATCTAGATGCCCTTCATCTGAAGAAAGGATAAAGATGTGTTACATTTACACAATGGAATACTACTCAGCAGGATGGGGTGGGGGAGAACACAATGGAATCTTGAAATTTGCAGGCAAATGGATGGAATTTGAAGAAACCATCCTGAGTGAGGTAACCCAGTCACAAAATAGGAACATGGTATGTACTCACTCATATATGGATTTTAGACACAGAGCAAAGGATCACCAGCCTATAATTCAAACCACCAGAGGAACTAGGATACAAGGAGGAACTTAAGAGATTCATACAAAGTCCCTAACAGAAGGGGAAAGGAACAAGATCTCCTGAGCATATTGGGAGTGGGGAGGGGAAGTGAGCGGAGAGGGAATTAGGAGAAAGAGAAGGGGAGGAGAGGAGATTATGTGGGACCAGGAAGATTGAGTCGGGGGATGAATAGATGAGAGAGAGAGAGAGAGAGAGAGAGAGAGAGAGAGAGAGAGAGAGAGAGAGCATAATAGAGGGAGCCATTATAGGTTTGAAGAGAAAACTGACTCTAGAGAAATGTCCAGAGACCTGCAAGGATGACCCCAATATGAGCAAAAGTGGAAAGGCTACCTTAAATGTCCTTCCCTGATAATGAGATTGATGACTAACTTATATGCCATCATAGAGTCCTCAGCTGGCAGCTGATGGAAACAGAAGCAGGCACCCACAGCTAAACACTGAGCAGAACTTCTGGAATCCAGATGCAGAGAGGGAGGAGTGATAATAAAAGGGGTCAAGAGCAGGCTTCAGAAACCCACAAAGACAGCTGACCTGAACAAGGGGGAGCTCATGGATCCGCGGACTGATAGCTGGGAAACCAGCATTGGACTGACTGAGACTCCTTGAATATGGGTCTCAATCAGAAGGCCTGAGAAGTCTAAGAGTCCTCTGTCAGTGGAACCAGGATGTATCCTGGTGCACGGAAGGACTTTGGGAGCACATTCCCCATGGAGGGATACTCTCTTAGCCCAGAGTCCAAATGACTTGACAGGTTTTGATGATCCCTCCTGGAAGGCATCACCCTCCCTGTGGAGTGGTGGGGTGGGCAGGGAGGGAAGGAGTGTCACAGGGCATGGGAGGGAGGGAGGGAGGGAGGGAGGGAGAAGTGGGATCGATATGTAAAATAAGAAAAAGTTATATATATAAGAAACATGTATGTTAGGAATCATACAGTCACATATGTTTATGTATTTAGTTTAGGTGTTACATTTAACTTGGGTAGATGGTTCTATGGCTTAGCATAACTTAGAAAATCATTACTATATATCCTTACAGAGGAGATAAATAAACTTCTACCCAAGATAGTAACTGACCGAACAAACAGCATGGGCCATGTTAAGACAGAGCCTGAAGTGAACCCCAGATTCCCAGACCACCAAGGCACAAGTGGCCTCAATGTCATCTCATCTCTGGTTAGTAGCTTGCTGGCATCCACACAAAAGATGAGCCCATGCTCAGACTTGCCCTGGAGAGGAAACCCCTGGGCTCCTCCCACAGCTGCATGGTGAAGATGTTCAACCCACCTGCCTTTGCTCCTTTGAGCACATATTGGAGTAGATTCAGAGGCAGGAAATGCCTTAAACACAGACTACTTCACATCCCTCTGCTCTGTGGAAGGATCTCTCAGCCCTAGCATTTGCAAAAGAGCTTTCTCTGCTGCCCTAAAAATCTCTGTACTGATGTTCAGCTCCTGGGAAAGGAAAAGCTTCAACTCAAGACCCAAATTCTCTGTTCCTCAGGGCATTGTAGTCCATCCCAGCAAGTCAGAGAGAGCCATGAGACACCCTGAAGGACACAGATCAGACTCAAGAACACAGTTCTTCTTGGTTTCTCCTGGGGAATAATGCAGGTATACCTCCATTGTCCTGTCCAGCACCACCTACTGCGGACATAGAGAATATAGAGTTTCTTGTCTGTATTTGTGTCCCATGACACCTTTCCATGGTGGTTTTGATGAGGATGTCCTCCTAGTCTCATGTACTCAGTTCCTGGTTTGCAGTAGGTGATGCCGTTTGTGGATGTTAGGAATTAAGGCCTTGGTGGAGGAGATTTCAAAGACTCACAGCATTCCCAATTCTCTCTCTCCCTCCTGCCTCATTCTGCCATGCCTCTGCCTCTCTCTCTCTCTCTCTCTCTCTCTCTCTCTCTCTCTCTCTCTCTCTCTCTGTGTGTGTGTGTGTGTGTGTGTGTGTGTGTGCACGTGCACGAGTGCGTGCTCGCCCATGTGTTTGTAAATACAGTAAATAATATGAGCTCTCAGCTCTGGTCCTCCTGCCTCCATGCCCTAGTCATTTTCCTAGAAATTGTCTTAGTAATTTTGTTTAATCACAGTAATAAAAATGTAACTAATACACATGCCTTTAAGCAACATACCTATTTTACCTTGACATAAATTCAGGAATGGATTCATTTACCATATTTCTTAGAAATAATTGACCTGAAAACATTGTGGGAGAGGCCACAAAGAACACAGACACAGATGAATGACAGCTATCAGCAGTATTAGGCTGCCACCCTACATGATGTAGTTTATTCTTTAACCCAGAAATGTCATTTTCCCCATTTCCTCCTACAGCTACAATGCATGGCTTCCAAAGCAAAGAGACATGCAAACAACTCACCCTTCTAGAACTGATCACCCATAATTCTAGCACTCCATGGGCTGAGGTAGGAGGATTTTGCTTTCAAACTCAGCCTCGGCCACAGAGCAAGATCCTGTCTGGAAAATGAGCTTCTCTGCATACAATCTTTAGTTTTGATTGCCCAGAAGTCTTAATTCTTGAGAAATAAGTCTACCATAAGTAATGGATTAATGTGTAGTTGAGTCATCAATTTTGATTTCCAGGGGAAAAGGGATTCATTGAATTGTCTCTCAAGTTTAATGACTACTAACATAAGTCTATGATAGACTTCTGATGGAGAAGACCACTAAGACACTTTAAACATCAAGTTTAGAGTCACTGCACCAGATAAATGAATCCTTGAAGCTTAAATCTGACGTCAGAGTCCCATGCAAAGCTTTCCAGAGATCATTTAAGTCCCCATCCTCACAATGATCGCCCAGCCTATTTGGCCAAAGACCCTGCCAAGTCATTCTCAAGGAGAGTGACATCTTGGGCTCATTGCAGTATGACACCAGGCAACCATATTGTGACAACTCATATGAGATCTTCCTATTGTAGTTTGCAATCTCCACAAGAGAGGGAGAAAGTTTGGATCTGACCCAGGAATGTCCTCCTCCTCAGTGTCTGTAGAATGTATGTTAATGCAAGTCATGTTGAGTAGTACCCACAGAACTTTCACACAATTTCACCTAAGTAGCTGATGTGTTCCCTGAAACAGGGTGAGAAGTGAATAAATAGGATTCCTTTAGCCTCACTGGGTTTCCCTACCCCCATACCAAGCTTTGGATGTTTCATAAAGCTACTTTCTTAATGAATTGATAACTTAAAATTTTACATTAAGTGCATATTTTCAGGCTTCAAAATGATGTTCTATATATATGCTGTAGAATGATTAAATCAAACTAATTGACGCATCCACAGGCTGAAATACTTCCTATTTTTGTAGTGAGAACACAAATGTTTGACACCAGTATTGAAATGCACAATGTATTATGAACATATTGTACATTAGATCTCAGAAAGTTATCATCCCTTAAGTGAAATTCTGTGCTTTGATCAACAGCTTCCATTTCTAATCTGTCCAGCTCCATGAACAACTCTTCTAAATCTGCAAGTTCTCTTGTTTTAGATTTGAAACACAGTGAGATCATGCATTTGTTTTCTACTTTTCATAGCTCATATAGCTTAGGATCATGTCTCAGTTTTATGTCTCATTACAAATGATGAGAATTCATCATCTCTTTAATGTCTGGATAAAAGAATGGAGGGATAGCTCAGGGATTTACAGCACTTGTTCTAGCAGAGGACTCAGGTTCAGTTACCAGCAACTACACGATTTCTCATAACCATCCACTCCAGGTCTAGGACATCTGTTGTCATGGGCAACACACACACACACACACACACACACACACACACTTGTTCTTAGAGCAAGGCCAGCCTGTCTTACATCTCAGAGCTGATCTCACACAGCTCTAACCATCTTGAGCTCTAAGCTCAGAACCTCACCTCACTCCAGTCAATATCTGCCTTTTCAAGGATTGGATCCCAGGGTGTCTCACTCTTCGATCTAGTCCTCTACATAATCATTCCAGATCTCATCAAGGTCCTTGTTCACTATAGAAAATCCTAGACAACATTGTGGAAAACACCACTGCAGTCCACAGCAGGGAAGCCAGCGCTGATCTAATCTTACTGTGCATCAAATTCCACCCTGAAGCTCTTGCTTAGAGATAAATGCCAACACCTTATAAACAGGTAACTGATACATGTCGTTGTAATTGGTCAATATACTTCACTATGTCTGACGTCTGACTCTAAGACATGATCATTGGCCACAGGGAAAACACTTGCTCTTGAGATTTCTCTGTGATGTCCTAGGAGTTTAGGAGAGTCAGAGTGAGTTAAGATGACTTCATCAGACTGTTCCAACAGACGATTCCACAGGATGGTCAGAAGTTCCAGAGGTTAATTAGATGCTGTGCTGAAACTCTGCCTAGGCAAATATGCTACAGTATGTGTATTTGTAGTGATGTATTGTTTTATGGTAATTTGGATGTCATTATTATTTTCAAAAAAAAAGACCAAAGAAATTAAAAAAAAAAGAAAAAGATCTTTCCAGAATGGGAAAATATGTAAGAGAAAACAAAGCACAGACTTCGGTTCACTGCAGTCACCGAGGACACTTCCTGGGTTCTCAGGCCATCCTCAACCACAGCCTCAAAGCCTCTTTTCCTGGTCTTTATCCTGGCTTGGCTCATAAGATGTCAATGTGGTAACAGTGTCATTTTAACCCAAACCACAAAGCTTCCTTAACTAATAGAACCAATCAGAGCTGAGGTGCACAGGTTTAAATGCCTATGAGGGCAGTGGACACTCACCTGCCCCATCCCTTCAAGAGCTGTGTCTCCTCTGTCCTCCTCCAACCCCAGCAGCCTCCCTGGGAAGATGTCACCTGTCCTGATTCTCCTGACCTTTCTTCTGCCACTTGGAGCTGGTGCAGGTGAGTGAACACCCCTCTTTCAGAGATGCCATCCCATAATAGTTCTGCAGCCTCTCTGCCCAGTTCTAGTCAGGAACTCTTCTAAACTGAACTACGAGCTTTCTGAACCTCAGGTTCCATGGCAACCACACCCATGAGAATGTCACTGGCTAGACCTCAACAAGGTCTGAGGAAGGGGGGTGTCCTCAGAAGACTTAGTGGACACTACATACTTTCTGTCCTTTTTGTCACTTGAAGAGTGGATCATTCTTAGACAGGGGTATTACAAAGAATGCAAAGATACTAAAAACTAAATCATTAATTTGGCTTGAGCCCAGGGAAGGGCAGCTTTACTGACCTGCGGGCAATGGGGTAAGGACACCAGCTCTACAAGAGTAGCCTCATTTAGGAACCTCCACCCTCAGCCTGCTGGAGTAAAGGCCCATTAACACTCCACTAGCTTTCCAGTATAGTTTTAGTTGGCCTCTGCATTTCTGTCTGCCTGTACTCAGCTAATGCATCTTAGCCAGCATGATACTCTAATGCCCCCAAGGCCCTGAAATCCATGAGCTCTGGATGAGCCTTGCAGCTACATAGTACTCATTTATTCATGCATTCAAAATCATTTTTTTACTGAGAAAACAAGATATGCTGGGAACCAGAATACCAGAATAAGAGCATTTCATAAGAACCTCTCCATAGGGCTTGGGGGTAAAAGGTGACAAACTGACAACAGCTAAGATATTACAGGGGTCACAGAGACTCGTGAAAAGAGAAAACTCTTAGGCACTCTATCCAAAATCCCCTTGTTCTCTACCATCATCAAGATAGAGCTTGTCCCTCCATGTATTTGTAAAGCAGAGACTGGTGGAGAAGTGCTACCCACCCTTCTCAGAGCTGGGCTGCTGCTTAAGATTTGACAAATATTATTCTATGTGTAAGGAATTCTGTCCACAACAGGCTTGGGGAACTGAGAATCCTATTGCCCTGACACTTACCTAGATCTTCCCTCCGGACCTCATCTGCTACTCCAGACACCCCATATTCTAGCCTTTTCTTTCAGAGGAGATCATCGGGGGCCATGAGGTTAAGCCTCACTCCCTCCCCTACATGGCATTTATTCAGTCTGAGAAGAAGAGTCACTGTGGAGGCTTCCTGGTGCGAGACAACTTCGTGCTGACAGCTGCTCACTGCCTGGGAAGGTGAGTTGAAGCAACAGACCCACATTCTCTGAGAACCCAGCAGGAACTGCTGTCCCCCAGTTGTGGATGCTCCTGTGAGAGCTGGCTAGAAGGCAGGACTGTGGAAATAGGAGTCTAAAAACAGGGAAACTTTGAGGTCAAAGGGTGAGAGAGGTCAGAGCCAGCAGCACACTTGAGTTGAAAGCAATTAGAGTGGCCAAACTAAAGCAGTGGCTGAGGTTGAGCGTACATAGTAAAAATCAATGCAAACTTTGGAATATTGCCTAGAAATAAGAGGGATCCCCCCCCCAGGCATCTCATGTTCTTGAGTTGCAAAAAGTAGACACAGATCCCTCCTGTCTCCTCAAGGTCCCTCAGCTAGGTGCCACCCTGCCTACCCTGCCTCTTACATCTCCTGAGCTGTGTTCTCTCTCACCCTACATCTCTCATCTCCACCCTGCTGTCCTCACAGCTCAATGAAAGTCACCCTGGGAGCCCACAACATCAAGGCACAGGAGGAGACCCAGCAGATCATCCCTGTGGCAAAAGCCATTCCACACCCTGACTATAATCCTCAGGACCGCTCCAACGACATCATGCTCCTAAAGGTGAGACCTACAACTCCCACTCCACACACCCCCACCTACACACCCCATTCTTGGAGCCTGTGCTCTGCTTGCTGCAGGGCTTGCTCCTCCCCTCTTCTCTCTCTTCCACCCTGGATTTTAAAGAGTCCCAAGCCAGCGGCTCCTGGCTGAGCTGGTCCTTCCTGCCTCTTCCCCAACAGCTGGAGAGGACAGCCAAGAGGACTAAGGCTGTGAGGCCCCTCAACCTGCCCAGGCGCATGGTCCATGTGAAGCCAGGTGACACGTGCTATGTGGCTGGCTGGGGAAAGATGGCCCCACAAGGGAAATACCCAAACACACTTCAAGAGGTGGAGTTGACCATGCAGAAGGATCAGGAGTGTGAGTCCCGATATCCAGCTTATTACAAGGCCATAGAGATGTGTGTGGGGGACGCAAAGGTCAAGCGAGCTGCCTTTCAGGTAAGTTGGATGACCTTTCTTCCTGGGAACAGCAGACTCCAGTCACTAACTATGGCCTCAGAGCTGACCAGGAGTCTCAGTGGAGGCAGCTGGTATAGGAGAATCTGCAGAGTCCTCCTGACACCCAGGCCCAGGCTGTAGAAAGGTTGCTCCCTGTGTGTCATCACTGCAAAGAGCAGGCACCCACATTGGTCAGTTGTCCTGTCCTCCATGCTCAGATCAGACCCACTCACCTGTCCCTGGGCTCTTACACAACAGCCTGGAGATGAGGGTCCCACACACTTTCATACAGAGTGGATCACAGACCTGGATAAGGGCAGAGCTGGGTTCAGGAGGGAGGTGAAGCAGTAACTCTGTCCACAATCAGGGCAGGCATCCAGGCACCCAGGGCTGCCCTCTGATCCCCACAAACTGAGCACTGAGGCACACTTCTGGGAGATGGAGGGTTAGGGTGAAATCAGCTCAGACCCCTGTGGCCACTCTGCATTCACAGGGAGATTCTGGAGGGCCTCTTGTGTGTAAGAAAGCAGCTGCAGGCATTGTATCCTTTGGATCTGATGATGGTTCACCGCCTGAAGTCTTCACCAGGGTCTCAAGTTTCCTATCCTGGATAAAGAAAACGATGAAACGCAGCTAACGAGGGAGCAAACCAGACCCCTCCCTGATTCACCATCTTCCCTAGGCTGAGTCCAGGGTTGTCCTAGGTCAGAAGCCAGAAACTCAATAAAGTCTCTTTCTTTGCGGAATCACAAGACTGGTTTCCTGTCTTTTCGTGCAGACCAACTCTGTGCTAGCCAGCCAATGGCACACTTCTGCTGTCTGCTCACCCAACATCATACACACCCCACATCCCAAAGTTCAGGCTAGGCCATTGCCCAGATCATTTATACTTGTCAAACTCTCCAGTGTCTGCATTTGTGACAGGCCTGAAGCTAAGCACCTTCAAGAGAAAATTTGAGCATCTCTACTCTCGGTGTCCAGGGTGAACTTTTCCCCTCTGCGCCATGCAGAGGAGAGGAGAGGACAGGGAAAGCACCCTTGGTCTGGGGACCTGAGACACAGAGCTGAGGTCACTGTAGATGGCCTCCAGGGCACAGGATCTCTGTCCACAGTTCCCCATTAAGGTGACAGCTCTTTCAGAAAGGGCTGTTCCACATCTAGGACGAGTTTCCCTATGCTCCTGTGGACACAGGGCCAGCTTCCTCAGGCTTCCTAGCTGCACCCCCTTCTCCTCATGCCTGCTCAGGTGAGTCTATCAGCTTCTGTGCTTGACAGTCCAGTAGATCTGAGCCTGTGCCTGCTTCTTATCCACCTGTCTAGGACACCCAAATCCACCGTGCTTCTGTTCAGCAGGGCTTTGCCCTGGGGTGCCAGCATAAACCTCAACCTGGAAAGGAAGGGCTCCCAAATGTCCAGGCCAGATTTGGCATCACAGAGCATTCATGGAGGCCAGGGTACTCAGTGTTCTCCTCGAGAACCCTGTACACACCTCCTAATACTCAAGTCTAAGGAGCTCCTCCCAGTCTGCTCAGTTTCCTGTGTGCTCAGCATCCACAACTCAGGGTCACTCAGGGGCATGATCTGCTCTGAGTATACTAGTCCTTTTCACTGCTGGCCTCTAGGATGAGATTCCCTGCTGGTCACCTGGCCTATGTCAGTCTTCTACATTTACAGTGGGGGAAAAAAGAAAACAAAATAAAACAAGAACAACAACAACAACAAAAAACTAGAAATCTCTTATGTTTTCATCACTTAGTTCTGAAGTGTACGAGGTTTGGAAATGACTTTACTCTTTAGCTTCTAGTGGGAAACTATTCAGAGAAGTACCAGAGATAGGGCAGGTCATACACAATAACACAACTGAGACAGCCCTGGTGTATTTATTTATTTATTTATTTTAAAAATAATAAATATGGACTCATTATGCTGATTTAAATAATGAGATACGTACACATTCAGAAGCATAATTCAGAAACAGAATTAAATGTGTGCCAGGATGCTGGGAAATAAAGAAAATGATAAAATACTGTATAGCAGTACCTGTAATATTTAGACATCTTTGGTTACTGCTGCCTCCATAGGTTCTATGACTACTTGTATTCTTGTTGTTAGCAGGTTGTTGGCATGAGACTGTCACCAGAGTGTGTGGCACTTTGTTAAATAAAACCTCCCTGTGTTGGGCTCACATTGCTAAGGAAATCAAAGCTGCCAGGCAGGGTTGCTCATTCCTTAATCCAGGGATTGGGAGGTAGAGGCAGGCAGATCTCTGAGCCCAAGGTCAGCCAAGGACATAGAGATACTCAGTCTCAGGACAAACTATCTAAAGAGTGCTTCATTTACCTCAAACTTAAGACTTCAAGCAGCCTTGGCTCAGGGTTCTGTCCTGTCACATGGCATGACTGCTAGCTACAGCTCAATGCCTCAGTGTCCCAAATGGACACAGTGTCATATTCTTCTGGGAGATGAAGTAAAATCTCCTTTTGGGTCAGGAAACTTTCAAAGACACGCTTTTATATAGGAAGTGATGTAGGTGGCACACAGCATCTGATCAGAACTGGAAAACAACCCCTGCCTGGAAACAAACTAAGGACCTGGATTCTTTGGAGACAACAGACAGAGAAGAATGAAGAATCAAAGAAACATGTATGTTAGGAATCATACAGTCACATATGTACTCAGTTTAGGTGTTACACTTACTTTGGGGAGATGGTTCTATGGATTAAACTAACTTTGAAAACCATTACTGTGTATCTTTTACAGAGGAGATAAAATAATTTTCTACCAAAAGGAAGTAACTGACCAGACAAACAGCATGGGCCATGTTAAGACAGAGCCTGAAGTGAACCCCGGATTCCCAGGCCACACAAGTGGCCTCAATGTCATCTCATCTCTGGTCAGTAGCTTGCTGGCATCCACACAAAAGATGAGCCCATGCTCAGACTTGCCCTGGAGAGGAAACCCCTGGGCTCCTCCCACAGCTGCATGGTGAAGGTGTTCAACCCACCTGCCTTTGCTCCTTTGAGCACATATTGGAGTAGATTCAGAGGCAGGAAATGCCTTAAACACAGACTGCTTCACATCCCTCTGCTCTGTGGAAGGATCTCTCAGCCCTAGCATTTGCAAAAGAGCTTTCTCTGCTGCCCTAAAAATCTCTGTACTGATGTTCAGCTCCTGGGAAAGGAAAAACTTCAACTCAAGACCCAAATTCTCTGTTCCTCAGGGCATTGTGGTCCATCCCAGCAAGTCAGAGAGAGCCATGAGACACCCTGAAGGACACAGATCAGACTCAAGAACACAGTTCTTCTTGGTTTCTCCTGGGGAATACATGCAGGCATACCTCCATTGTCCTGTCCAGCACCACCTACTGCAGACATAGAGAAAATAGAGTTTCTTGCTGGTATTTGTGTTTCATGACACTTACCTGTGGTATATATTAGTGAGGATGTTCCCCTACGTTCATGTGTTTCAGCACCTGGTTCCCTGTTGATAATGCTGTTTGTGGGTGTTAGGAAATATGGCCCTGGTGGACAAAGTACATTGCTGGGGCAAGCTGGGAATGTTTGAAGACTTATACCATTCCAAATCTGCCTCCCTCCTTCCCTCACTCCATCCTTCCCTCCCTCCTTTCCTGCCTCCCACCCTTCCTGTATCCCCCTTGTTTCTCCCTCCCTCCTCTCCTCCTGCCCTGGTGTGTGTATGTGTGCACGCGCACGTGTGTGTCTGTGTGTGTGTGTGTGTGTGTGTGTGTGTGTGTGTGTGTGTGTGTAATTAAAAGATGTGAACACTCAGCCACCCATGGAACCCTAGTCTTTGTTCTAGAAGTTGTCTTGGTAATGGTGTTGTAATACACTTGTTTTTAAGCAACTTATGTATTTTAGCTTGGCAGAAATTCAAGAATGGATTCATTTGTCAGGTTTCTCAGGAGTAGTTGGCCCAAAGCATTGTGGGAGAGAACCTACAGAGAACACAGCCACAGCTGAATGACAACTATCTACAGGATCAGGTTGCCACCCTACATGATGCAGTTTATTCTTTAAGCCAGAATGTCATTTTCCCCTACAGTTACTTACATGGATTTGAAATGAATGAGGTGTGCAGACAATTCAACCTCTTAGAAATGACTACACTCAAGTGTTCTGGAGTCTGATCCAGGTGTGGTGATGCTCAGCTGTAATTCCAGCACTCCATGAGCTGGGATTAGAGGAGAGAGCTTAAACCCTCAGCCTCAGCTGCATAGCAAATCCTGTCTAGAAAATTAGTTTCTTCCTATATAATATTCAGTTTTGAGTACCCAGAAGTCTTAATTCCTGAGAAATGAGTCAAGTATAAGCAATAGATTAATATATTGTTATGTCATCAATTATGATTTCCATAAAAGAATTCATTATATGTCTCTCAATGTTTTTTAACTACTAAGAAAAGTCTATGATACACCTCCATAGTGGAATAAAGTAAAGAGCACTAAGACACCTTAACAATCAAGTTCAGAGTCGAGGTAGCAGATAACAAATCCTTATAGCTTAAACACTTGAGGACAAAGTTCCATGAAGTTTTGCAAAGATCATTTAACTTATCCTCCTCACAATGATCACCCAGACTATTTGGCCAAAGACCCTGCCTACTTACTGCCAAGGAAAGTGACATACCAGCATCACTACAAAATGACACCAGGCAACCATGTTATAGCAAGCTAACTGAGATCTTGCCATTGTGGTTTGCAATCTCTATAAGAAAGGCAAAAAGCTTGCATTGGACACTGGCATGCCCAGCTTACTGTTAGTGTCCTTAGAATGTTATTTAATGCAAGTCATCATGAAAAGCTATCTACAGAGCTTACATACAATTTCACCTAAGTAGCTGATGTGTTCCCTTGAAAAGGGCAAGAAGTGAATGAATACAATTACTTTTGCCTCTCTGGGCTTCCCCCTGCCAATACCAAGATTTGCATATTTCATAAAAGCTAATTTCCTTATGAAATGACAGCTTCACATTTTTACATTAATCACATATTTTTAGGCTTGAAAGTGGTATTATATGTATATGAAGTAGAATGATGAAACCAAACTAATTAATATATCCACAAACTGTCATCTGTATTTAGGAGGGCTACTGATTTTTTTTTTTGAGTAATCTTGTATTCTGTTACATTACTGAAGGTGTTTATCAGTTGGAGGAGTTCTGTGGTAGAATTTTTGGGGTCACTTGTGTATACTTTTATATCACCAGCAAATATCAAGAGTTTGACTTCATCGTTTCCAATGCTTATCCCTTTGATCTCCTTTTATTGTCTTATTGCTATAACTAGAACTTCAAGTACTATGTTGAATAGATATGGAGAGGTTGGACAGCCTTGTCTTGTTCCTAATTTCAGTGGGATTGCTTTGAGTTTCTCTCCATTTAGTTTAGTGTTGGTTGTTGGGTTACTGTATATTGCCTTTACTATGTCTAGGTATGTTCCTATTCTCTCCATGACTTTTATCATGAAGGGGTGTTGAATTTTGTTTAAGGCTTTTTCAGCACCTAGTGAGATGATCATGCTTTTATTTCGGTTTGTTTATAAGGTGGATTACATTGATGGGTTTTTGTGTGTTCAATGAACCCTGCGTCTCTGGGATGAATCCTACTCGGTCATGGTGGATGATTTTTTCTGATGTATTCTTTAATTCGGTTTGCCAGTATTTTAGTGAACATTTTTGCATCTATATTCATGAGGGAAATTAGTCTGTAATT